TTTTTTTTTTTTTTTTTTTTTTACAAAAATAAGATTTTATTTCCTTATCATCTCTCTGTATTTTTTAAAATTCTTCAAAATACCCAAAAAGGAACTTCGGTCAAAAAACATAGACATATACAAAAGGTATCACCTACTGATTTTGTGTTAATATTAGCATCACTTTGGGAAATGTTCTACAAGAAAAACTCTTATTAAATGATTAGTTTTCAGGTTTCTGAACAATACATTTGCATTAATATATCATATTCCTTCGAGAGAAATCAATTAAACAGTTAGTTTTCCATGAGTTTGTTGCTTTTTCTTTTCTTTCAGTTTAACATGTTATATTTCCAATGGTAGTAAATGCACATTTTTAGCTAAGTAAGTTATACTAAAGCAGTCCACCTTTGGTTTGTTGAAATAAAATCTTTATCAGGGTCCAGTCCAAGCCGGGAGTAAACAAAATGGAGACTGCTTTAAAAAGAAGGTTGTAGTTTATTGAAGAGCAGAGCCAGACAGAAAGGTGGCTCTGATAAAGCTGACCACATGTTGCTGGGAGTGGTGGATTTTTAAACTTTCTTGGGCTTTTGAGATTGTTTCCTGTTCCTGTGACATGAATTTTGACCTGAGGTTCAGTGTGCCTTTCTGGTATTCTGATGGTGGTGGGTTAATCCTATTAGGTCCAAAATCTCAGGCCCATAACTCCTGTGGAACTGAAATCTGGCAAATTTTATAAAACGGTTTATGACACAGCAATTATCATAAAACAGTTTATGACAGTGATGGCGAACCTTTTAGAGACCCCCCACCCTGTCCCACCTGCCCCGCCCACCCACAGGGCCACTCACCGCCTCCATGGCCCGCCGCAGATTGCCCAGGCAGCCCAGCAGCGCCATGGCAGCCACACCGTCCACCCGTGCCCCACAGCATCAACTGCGCGCGATGGAGCGCGAGGGCAGAGTCTTGTCCCCGCTGCCTGGCTGCCATGTCCTTGGCTACGCTCAGGGGCGACATTCCTCCAGGGGGGCTGCTGGTAAGGAGGGGGCTGTGGGGGGAGGCGGGGCTGGGGTGACGGCGCACATGCCCACAGAGAGGGCTCTGAGTGCCGCCTCTGGCACGCGTGCCATAGGTTCGCCACCACTGGTTTATGACATAATACAAAATGTCATGTTTCCTGTGCTGATGTTTGTGCTATACAGTACAGTTCAACACGGGCTATTTTCAAGGCAGATACATCTTTGAATATATCCCAGTTTTTCCACTGAAGGCAGCACGTTAGAAGCTCTGTCATTGTTAAAGACATTGAGGAATCTGGTAAGGAAATATCTCTGAGCCATGCCTGACAGCTGACTATGCTTATACATAAACCATAGGTCAGACGTGATGAGTTTTCTCATGATGAGTGAGACAGGATTTGATCCATACAGGATTAATAATAAAACATGTGACAAATACTCATTTGGAGGTGTCCACGAGCATTAGACTCAACCTCCATTGCCACACCACTTTCTTGAGGTTTAACTTTGAAGATTCTAATGATTATTCCAATTGGGAGAAATGGACAGTGAGAGAGAGGGAAAATTAGAGCACCTTAAAGATGCACAGATCTTTTATACAGGTTTTTTGTACAATTGTACAGGAGGTTCTCTCATGATGCGTGGGGGATAAAAACCCCGTATTGTCAAAATGTGAAGGGATTTAGAATGACAAAATGTCAGAATTGGAAGGGATCTTAGAGATCTAGTCCAACTCCCTGTCCAGTAAGGAATCTTCAACTACAGTTATTATGTACACAATGCCAGTATTTATAATGGCCTGGGTGGCAGCAGCCAGTGGACTTTAGACTTGGTTGTTGTTGGTACTTAGCTGGAAGACTATTAATTGACATATTTTTTTTTCCAAAATGCCCACGTGACCCTTAGGAGTCAAAGGTAATTTTGTGATGATCTGTGCAATCATGTTACCAACCTATAAAGTTTATCATACATATTGATTTATAGTTATCTTGTTCATATATATCTTTTGCCATATATTTTTTGTGATAGTAAGAATGTGTAAAGGTATGAAGAGATGACTGCAAAAGGGAAGAAATGTTAAGGGAGATAAAACAGCAACATAATTTTTTGGAAAGTGGAAAGCATGAGAAAGAAACACAAAACAGCGTCCACTTCGTTCTGTTTGATATAAGATGAGGCACACAGAAATTCTGACAGGTTCTCAAGATTCTGTTATGATACTCTATAATAATAAAGTAGCTTTTTTGGAATCCTTGTGATGCCAAGTTCCTGATCTGGCCTGTCTTGAAGTATTGACCAAATACATGAAACCCAGTCAAAATAGACCAGAGAGATAAAACAGCATGTTTTGGAGGATTTCAGCTTATAAAGTATATGGAAAAATATCAGAAGACTTAACAAAGGATAGTTCTTACAAAACAGTACCCCAAACATGTTTCTCAAGATAAGAGATGGGTCCTATCTGGATGAGGTGAAGGCACTCAAGTTGAAAGTGCTGATAGGAATGAGAAGCACAAACTATGACCAAGCCTTCGCAGAAGATATAAAAGGGACAAAATTCTAGTATTTTGAAGGCATCAAATCTTCTGAAACTCAAGTTTTGTCTGCTGTTTATATTGAGTTGTGTAAGGATGTACATGTGTACATATACTGGATGTGAATGTATGAGGCAGTGAACACATAAGCATCGACAAGGGGAGCAAGGAGGAGCAATTATTTGATTTCTATAGCCACGAACTTCATTATGCGACTGCACATTAATGCAAATTATACAATTTATGATGTGTCATGACATCATGCGATGTTATGGCTTCTGCCAGATACCTGCCACTGATCAATAGCGCTGGAGGGTACAACATCAAGACTTTGTTGATGCTGACTTTATGATGATGGAATGTACAGTTCTTGACCTTTGAGCATGTAAGTTGTAAAAGATAAGACTTAGCTCATATGCCACTGCACCTGTTTCATCCGGTTTTCCAGTACTTTTCCAAAACACATATTGATTCTAATTTTCAGCTTAGGTTTGGGAGGAAGGAGAGAACCTTCCACCAAAAAATGATGCTCCAGCCGACTTCTCTTTTTCATTTAAAGTTGAGTGTTTGTTTTTATATTACACGTTTGTGAGCTAATACAGCTTTATCATTTGATCTCTGGTTAAGTGTTTAATTGATGTATACTTTTACTTATGCTAAAAATATAATAATACCATTTGTGCGAAAATCCTGCCTTTTTTCTTGGAGCTCAAGGGAATGTACTTGGAGAATCTCCCCTCATTTGATACTTTCAATAATGACCGTGTAAAGGAAAATAGGCTGAAAAGACTGTGATCAGTCCAAGGTCATCCAAAGATTTTAGTGGTCATCTGGATCATTTCTGGATGAACCGTACACCAGGGGTCCCCAACCTTTCTGGGTTGGCAGCCTTGGGTGGAGGCACCTTTACATGTGCGAGAACGCAGACATGCAAATGGGGCTGTGTGTGCACAAACGTGGCCATGATTCCGTGTGCAATGCAAATGGGGCCATGAGCACCCATGCGATGCTCGGGCGACGCTAGTGCCCGTGCGATACTAGCGCGAGTGGGGATGTTGTGCTTGCAGCAGTGATACTGGCATGATGTCGCGACGCTAGCGCAAGTGGGGGGTGCACTCGTGGTGACGTTAACGCCCGCCCAACATTCAATGGCATTGCAAGCGTCCACACACCACCGCAACACTAGCGCAAGTGGGGGACATGAGCGCACACACGCACATGCACTAGACAGCCACTCTCACAGCCCAGTGGCCAACAGCCCACAGCCCGGTAGTGGGCCGTGGACAAGTTGGTGACCTCTGCCATACACTACATTGGTCATTAAGTAATTTATGAGTAATACAAAACAGTAGTGCTTATAATATGCAGGACAAGTACATCCTGATGCAATGATGCCTTGCCCAATTGATGCCTGCAGGTTTTTGTTAGAATTACAACTTGCAGTGTTTCCGATCAGCTGGGAAATCCAGACATTGTGGTTACAACATATCTGAAGACATCTGCTGGCTAAATGAATAAATCAAATGCGGTACAGATTATCCTGAGATTACAACCATTTGTTTAGTGATTGTTCAAAGTTCCACTTAAAAAAGTGACTCACAACCAGTCTTGTGACCATCATAACATCCGGACAATCACATGATAAAAATGTGGGTGATTGGTAACTAGTATGTATTTATGATGATTGCAGAATCCTAGGGTCATATAATTGCCATTTACAACTTTCCCAGCCAGCTTCCGACAAGCAAAGTCAATGGGGGAAAGCGGATTTACTTAATGACTGCACGATTCACTTAATAACTGTGGCAAAAAGATCACAAAATGAGGCGTGACTCACTTAACAACTGCCTTGCTCAACAGTGGAAATTCTGATTCCAGCAGTGATTGTAAGTCAAGGGACTACAAGTATTGAGTCATCTTAGCTCTCCTTAGGTCAGGACCAGCCATGTCTGGGGGTTGCGGTGTAGAAAGGGTGGGGGAGGAGGTTGGGGGGTGGAGGGAGGAGAGAGGTATCAGTACGGTCAGTGGGAGAGGCAGATATGGCGGGAGCAGAGGACCATATCAGGTTAGGGGAGCACGCACACGCTATTTACAAGCTTGTGGGTGCTCCGGTCCTCAGG